CCTTGGAGTCTTTTGTCAGGGATTGTTCTGGTGCCTCTTGCCCTGTCACTCCCAGTTTCCCTGTAAGCTCCTGGGATGGCTCTTTTCCATCTGGGGGGTACAGGGGCAAGTCTACCTCTTGCTGAGATGCTAGCAGAAGTCACAGTGATTTTGGAAGTGATGGATGCTCCATGTGCTGGGTTTGTGGATGAGATCTGAGCTCTCCAGAAGAGCTAAACCAAGTGAAAAATGCTGGAAAAAAATCAACAGCTCAGTCCAGCAATCCTTGAGAGCTCAGATCTCATCCACAAACCCAACAGAGTTTGTTAGTTCTTTTTTTGCTCTCATCCTTGTTATAGTTGAGCTGCTTCTGGGCACAGGTTCTCTGAATGTATCTCGAGCCCAGTATGTTACACCCTTAGCTCCACACATCCCCTCAGCTCCTGCTGGAAACACACACAGCAGAAGGACCCTGGAAGGCTTTGCAAGCATCACACTTGCAGAAGTGCATGAATACTCTTCAGTTTCAGTGCAGTTGGGTCCTGGCTCTCTCTGTTTCGTGGCTGTGCTGGAAAATAGCTGAAGGAAGCCAGGAGAGCATAAAAGAGTGAGGAGCTGTGTGGTGAGTAATGGTGTGGGCAGGCAGCAGCCTGGCTGGGCTTCCCCCTCTGCCCTGCCCTGCCTGCACACAGGCACTTTTTTCCCAGCTCTGTTCTGGTGCTCGTGTCTCCCACATTACACAACTCCTCTCCTGTGAAGGTCAGGGGGGTTTGAGCCTCCCTAAAAGCAGCTGGAGCTGCTTCCCAACTTCCCCCAGCCACATTGCATGGCTATGCCATAGCCAGGATGCTTTTTCCACAGCTGAATTTTCCACTTCCCTGGCTCACACTGCAGGGTTTAGGCCAAAGGCAAGGGTTTATTTTTGGTTTTAATGGTTTTTCTTTGCTGGCAATTTGTGGTCGTTAGACCAGGGGCTGGAGAAGAAAAGAGCTCTAATGAGATCATTGCTCCTTGCTCTGCTCTGGCACTGGTGGGACTTGAGCAGTGCCTGAGGCTTGTACAGAGTTGGGAATTTCATTGCTCTTCCAGCCCTTCATCCCCTCCAGAGCTGAACCTGAAGGACTTGTGTCCTCAGAGCACACTAGGTTTTATTCTCTTGAGTACAGCACAAACTGGTCAGTGAGTCCAAACTGGGACTTGATGTTTTCTGGGCTGTGCAGTAGTGACCATTTCTTTCCCTGAAGAAAGAATGTAATGAAAACACTTCTTTTCCTGCCTGGTAGGGGGGTTAAAAAAAAAAAAAGTACTGCAATAGTATCACAGCAAAGAGTGAGGGGGAACAGCAACCCTAAATGTATCTAATTTGAAGAGAATGATCTTGCCAGTTGTTAAACAGCCTGAGAACAAAGTGGGTGGGTTTATTTCAAGGTCAGCACAGAGATACAGAAGCTTCTCTTCCCTTTTGATTCCTGGAAAAGTTGGGTTGGAAACACAAGGGAGAAAGAATGGCTAATGGTATTTTAACACTTGCACTGCCAGTCCCTGTTGGTAAAGCTGATGGTATGTGATGTTTTGAGAAGGGCTCAGTGTATTAGGTGACAAATGACCAGATGAGACAGCAAAGCATCTGCCCAAGATGGTATCAGTGTGATTTGGAAAGCAGTGTCTTCTCTGTAGACACCCCAAAATTAGACAAGGAGGGTCACTCAGCACCCTCTGGGAGGGCAGGAGGGATGGGTGAGCTCATTAAAACACAGTGGTGTTTGGTACCTTGAGCTGTAGAATCTGGTAACTCTGAAAATGTGCTGTTTTTCTCCTCCCCCTGTGCCATCACACCTTTGCTTCACTTTCATAGACACCTGAATATAAGAGGCAACACACCAAATTCCTTCATTCTAGCCATTCCCAGCAGGAGAGGGGTTAAAAACCATAATCCTCACCCATTCAGGGTAAGCCTGGCTGGACCCCCAGTGTGGATGCTGTAACACATTGTGCTGTAGGAGCACATGGAATTCTGGCCAGCTGTAGCTGTTCCCCAAGGCAATGCAGGCAGAGGCTGCTGACAGGGCACAGAATTGAGCCCAGGAGTGCTGGTGTTCCCCCAAGCAGCACATCCCCTTTGTGTGTACCCTCTGCTCTGAGCAGCATTGTGCCAGCAGAGACAGAAGTGGGTCCCAGAGCAGCACTGATGTCCTTGGGGGAGAGACACTTGGCAGGAAAGCTGCAAGGGTTGTGGAGAGGAAAACATTGAAATAATTTATTTCCCTGGGAACTGGTTTTGCTCTACTCAATGTGAAGTTGAGACACTGAGCTGAGCCCTGGACCACACAGGCTTGTAAGTCTCTACTGGATAAAGCCTAAACATGGATTGTTGGATTGTTCTTGCCCTCCAGATGACAGTCCCTGGAGGAGCTAACTGAGGACAGCATGAGGAGAGAAGAAGTTTGAGGATTCCCCTGCTCCTCCTTGTTGCTGGAAGTCCCTTTGGAAGGGACAGGGAGCTCAGAGCTCTGGTTCCCTTCCTGCCTTTAGGAGCTCAGAGCTGCTCTCCCCTTGCTGGGAGAGCCAAGGCTGTGGTTAACCCCCATGGTTAGAGCACAGCTGCAGAACTGGCTGTTCCCTGTGTCACCAAGTGTGTGTCACCCAAACCTAAACAGCAACAGTCACTGGAGCTGCCACAGCAGTGCAGGTCAGGGCTGAGCATTCCCAACACCCCCACAATGAGTTCACCCTGGAGAGTCCCCACAGGCTTCTGCTGGGACTTGCTCTCTGCTGGGAAATCTTGTAGAAACCCAGAATTGAAGGTGCTTTTTCTTGCTGCTTTGGCTAGGTACCCACCTTGGCACTGGTTCTGCTCCTGCTGGGAAGGTGAGGTGGCTGGGGAGGAAAAGGAGCTCTCTGAAGAGGGAAAACCTCAGTGGTTCTTTCCATGTGAGAAGGATGAGATATTTCTGAGGTTCTTCTTGCATAGGGAGGGCTGGGAAGCTGGGGAAAGCCAAGCAAGGCTTTGGGAGTGCCTGGGGGAGGGAAGAGACTGAGTTTTTGCTCAGGAGAGAGTGGTGACTGCAGAGCACATACATCCCAGAAAATGAACCATGGAGAAGGTCACACTGGATTTGCTCAGAGCCAGGTAAAGGTGGGATTTGTCTCTTCAGAACATGCCTCAGGAGCTGTCCTTGAACAAACCACTTTATTCAAGCTGTTCTTTGGCTCAGTGGCTATTTCAGTGCTGGCAAACCCAAACCATTCCTGCCTTTCCCACTGCATCTCCCTTGATATCACCAAATGTGCTGGAAATCTGTTATACCTGGAGTGCAGGCAGAGAGAGCTGTGAGTTTCTCCTGTGTACCAGCCACGAGGAGGAAAGAGAATTGGCTGTCTGAAGGCTAATTCTTAAATAGATGGATCAGAAGGATTAATCAGCTGCTCAGCACGTTCTTATTTCACAAAAATTGCCTCCAACCTGGGAAGTGCTTCACTGTTTTTAATCTCCTGCCTGGAGAGGTTTGGGGCCTGAATGCAAAGTATGGCTATCCCTGGTGGCTTTTTCCAGGCTCAGTGCTGATTGTTCAAAGTGAATTCAAATGAGATCTGCAGCTGAGGAATATGCCAGAGTCAGCTACTGGGTTTAGGCCACTCATCCATGGGCTGTGCACAGTGTGGGAGCTCAGCTGGGAGGCAGCTGGACTCAATGGAGATGGGAATGTGGCTTGTTCCACTGGTGCCAGTGTCTCAGTGGGAAATCTCCCCAGTAAACCTCTCTCTCAAAAAATAAGGATTTCATAGTCATTTCACAAGCATTTTTTGGGTATCTGTTTTCTTCCCAAACCTAATTCATGTCCTGCTCTTTGTTGTTCACTCAACAAATGCACCAGCAAAGTCCTGGGGATGTTCTGTCAGCTGGCCAGATGTGCACTGAATTGCATTCCCTTTTCTCTTCTGGCCATGGAAGAGAAGGCAGGGAATAAATAGTGGGATGGATGAGCTCTTCTGCAGGACAACTCAGCATGGACACTGCTCAGAGCCTGTGGAGAAGAGACAGGTTTCCTTCTCAGGGCACAGAGAGGGAG